GCAGCCCTTGCAAGCAATGGCTGCTGTGTTCCACCGTTCAGCTTCCCCTTGGAACAGTGGTCCAAATCAATCATGGGAGTATTCGAGTAGGGAGTGCTGCTCTGGTTGCTTCTGAAGCCAGTGAGTTGACCATGCCTGCTGCTGCCAATCAGGTGAGCACCATCGACCATATCAGATGGAACACGCAGAGTTGTGGCATCTGCAGCCAACTTGACAAGGTCCTTTGTGTTCGGGAAGACAGCAGGAAGCCCACTGGTGCCGCTCATGGGAGATTCAGCCCTGAAATCAAGCAATGATAAGAAGCACGTGATTATCAAGTGGTACAGACAAGAGGAAATGGTGAAACAGCAAAGAAAAAATGTCGATTTTCCATTCACACATAGTATTATCACCTCTCACGGAGCACAGCAGTGATGCTCGTCAGCATGCTTCCAAGCAAAGCCACCTGCTCCCATGAAACGTCCTGGGACGCATTTGCCATGATGTTTGCAGTTGCTGCCCGTGCTGCACCAAAGCATGCATGCGCAACTGGGAGGAGAGCAGCTGGCTGGCGTCTGTGGATCCCTGCTGCCATTCCGCGATCCAAAAGTTGAGAGAAAGCTAGAACAGAAGCGACTTCCTGGCTGATAGACTTGGGCGGGAAGGGAGTTGCGGTGCGACTGTGCTGTGAAACTGCACTGGCAGTTCCTCCAGCTGAAGCTGAAAACTTTGAAAACGATGAGTTGATGTGCCGGACAAACGGCTTGAGGAAGAGATCAGATACAGTCGTATCAGGGCATGCCATGAGGACATCAACCGTTGCACAGACTAGCCGCTCCTCCAGCCCAGTTACAATGCCCAACAGTCCTGTAGCACTGCTTTCTCTCAAACCTTTGGCCTGAGGCTTGGATTCATTCTTCACAGCAGTTTGCAAAGAGGCCTGAACAGATCGAAGCAACAGCTCTGCGTGTCTTCTTGCAAGCTGAGGGTCTGAATGTCGAATGAGGAAGCACCACGTGTCCCGAACAAGCTCTGCACAGATGGGATGCTGGTGCACTGCATGTTGAAAGAGAAAGGCTTCAACCTCCTCCCAAAGCGCCAAAGACCCCAAAGCCTTCTGTTCCACATCCCTGGAAGCGGGCTCACACGAACTGGTAACTCTGGCACCAATGACAGCCACAAGGACCTTGAGTCCACGGGTTAGTTGTGAAAACAGGGTCACCCGCCTCGTTGTCCTTCCTGCTGCCGCTGTCCCCCCCTTGTCAGTTCCCTCCTTCCGCTGGTTTGAAAATGGCCAGATGACTCGGGAAAGCAGTGGGATGTAGGAATGCTGGTCTGCCGCAAGACTGATTAAATCACCCAGGCTATTGGTCACCACACTCAGCACTTGATCACTGTATGAGGCAGAGCCTTCCAGGATTGTGGTGGCAGTCACCAGCCTCCCACACGACTGCCACTCAGCCATCTCTGGGCTGTGCTGCTCCAGACCAATAAAATTGTTCCGTGGTAATTGATAACAGCTCCCCCCCTTCGTTGAACCCTCGGCATTGACGCCTGCAGATGAAACCACCCTCCAAATCATATTCGTCGGTGCTCCTCGAGATCCAGATGCTGGGAGAATCAGGAGGATAAGGTTGGACTTGGCAATCTCTGAGACTTTCTCCGAGTTCAGAATGTTGTGAACAAGCCCAAACATTGTAGGACCCAGCATCTGCGCTATAGATTCTGCAACCGGAAACGGAACTGGCCACTTCAAACCGCTCCCCTTCTGTACTCTGCCTTCCGCACATCTCCCATCTCCATCACTGTAATGAAGAAGTCCCGCATAAGCGAACAGCAGGCCGGCCATGTCTTCTGAGGCGGCTGGATCACATGCCTCTGCTGGGTAAAGAAGTGCCACGCGAATGGCGTTATTCTGGAAGAACTTCGTCAGCATGAAGACTCGCTGAAGCGTCTTGTTAAGCTTCTCTACCTCCACTTTGTACGCCTCATCTCCTTCTGACCTGTTGTCAACCTCCTCAACATAAACCCCTTCACGCGCTCCATTTTCCTCCATGCTAGGATGCTTCCCAAACCTGGCCTTCACCTCGACCAGCATCTGCTTTCCAGCCTCCGCTCCCAGGACAAGACCGCGTGCCGTATGCTGGAACAGCATGCTGATTGCATGAACAACATCTTCACGACTCCATGGTGGCAAATCCACTTCATCGATTTCACCAGGTCCGCTGTCATAGTTACTCTCATGCTTAGGGACCTGCTGCTGCGATGCACGTGGTGGTGGAGCAGGAACAACTCGGGCCATAGTCGCTAAAATAGTCACGACTGTCTTCCAGGCCAAGTTGATAGTGGCATAGTGAGAGCCCATACGTGCTGTAATAGATCCAACTGCTTCGAAGCTTCGAAAAAGAAGCGCCACGAGGCGGTTAAAGTCTTCAATGACAGCCTTGCTGTGATGGTCCATGTCAGTATCTTCATCAGTTTCATTGGGTGACTCTGAACTCCAGCGACTGTTGATCTTCTGAGAGACTGACTCCAACTGTTTCAATGCAGACGAGCTGACGTTGTGGAAGGCACCAAGCACATCAATCAAGGGTTTCTTAAAAGCTTCCTGCCACTGAGATGGGAAAGCCTGAAAAAATAGATAAACGACATAAGGTATAAAGAACGTCTGTTTGATCTTATTGTAAAATAAAATATTTCGTGAGAGCCAACGAACTACCTTGAAGGAAATTAACGATGTACCTTTACGGAAAAAAAAGATGAGGTCATCATTCTGAATGATTCTTGAATCAGCTGGCCAATTTCTTTGACAGGCAATAGAGGTTGAGATTCCATTAAGCTCAGAAGAGCTCCTGCAGACAAGGCAATAAGCTTCATTGCCTGAAATCAACGATTGATCCAATGTTAGTGTCATCGTTGATTGATCAAGTTAAGTAGGACATACAAGCAGAACGAGACCTGTTCAGTAAGGTGTTGAATGCTCAAGAGATTCGAAGCCAAGCCTTCAAAGTGATTTTCCAGGATACACGATACATGCCTGCAAGCCTGAAACAACGAAAGGCATCGGTAAGCTGTTGTTTCTGCACGTTGTTCCAAACAGAAGACCATTAAACGGACCTCGGTGGTCAATTGCCAGAAGCACAGCATGAAATCAAAAGAAGGTTTATCCACGGCTGCAGCATGGTAAGCCGTTTCAAGACACAGAGTCCTCCAGATTAAATCCGCGTACAATTTCGCCGTTTCATTCGTACCCGCCTCAGTATCAGATGGTGATTGCCAACAATCCTGCGGGAAACAATAATGAGATGAAGTAAGGTCTCAGATGGACAATCATTCAACAAAAAATGCCAGAATGTAACATTGCACCGACCAGCAATCCTTGAAGAACTTGAGTACGCGATGATGGTCGCTTGTTGCTGCTAACAAACGCGAGGATTGCTCTAAGGAGCTCTTCTCTCCCTGATATGGCCTGACCTAACAAACATCCCACGATAAGCGTTCGTAGAATGTACGGATCGAAAGAAGAAACTAACAACAGAAACGATAGACATCAGCGCTTGCCTCGCCAGGAAGCCGCTGAATAAACTCGAAGATCTGCTCGTCATCAGGGTCACAGACAGCGTCTGTCTCGTCCTCGCCTACATCTTTCTGTGAGCTCGCCGACATGGCTCGCGAAATGTGTCAGGCAGCAATGTCGGAAACACCGGCTTCAAGCGTGAATGACGGACTGCAGGCCGTACAATCAGCTGTGGATTCCCTGACACCGTTGTTTCCTAGGTCAATAAAATGAAGTGCTGCAGCTGTTGGATTCCACCTGATGAAGCTTCAATTCCGCGTCAGCTTGACGGAACATATGACCTGAGGGGTGTCAGTCCTGAGATGTGGTTCATGAGGGGGGAATTCTGAAGTTCGTTTTCAGATTACGCACCACGGTTTGCTTGGATGCGTTGCGGTCAAAACCGGTAATACTGTTACCGTGAGGAACCTCACTGGACGGAGGAAACTCCCGAGCTGATGATGGGGGAGCTGAGAAATGAAATATTTATCTTTCTGTTCGCGACAAACAGCCCACATCGCAGCAACGCACAGCGAGTACACACTATGGGCGAAAAAATGTTCGCGATTCCCTGGTGTAACGGACATTCAGCTCAAGGATTTCAAATTTTCGAATTTCGAGTTGATTCACTGACGATAGCAGAAACCGACACACACCGCTTTTCACCATCACGTAACGCGTCGACAGCTGCTGACACCATCCCTGGCGTCTCCTGTTCAACGACAGCCCGCCATTTCACCAACACCTGACATCATGCTTGATTTGCTGCTATTCTTTTCAGCTCAAGAGTGGAAGCTTGTTTATGTAGCTTCCTCATGCACGAGCTATGCTTGCGCGCACTCGATGCTGATCCGATAAGTCAGATCAGGTTCACGTGTCTCCGAGGAACATCATAATAAACAGCTGACCATGAGCTAGCGTTGCGCACGCACGTACACCTGTAAAATGCTTCGATTATTGCTCGGTTCCGCTCCTAGTAGCGTATCCAGTTCGACAGGACGTTCGCTCCTCCGCTGGCTGGTCACTCCAACGAGCTGACTCGTTTTCTGCCTGTCATTGCAACGACAGCCGCGAGCTGACTCATTTTTTGCCTGTCTTGCAACAACCTGACTCATCCGCCGGCAGGAATTCCCCCGCGATGAGCGGTGAGGGGAAGCAGCGCTCTGTGCGCTCCACGCGGCTGCGCGAAACTACCCTTAAGAATATGTTCTTCCGTGCAAAGACCCAGCCTGCTACGAATAGCACTGCCGGTGCTCCCACTCACTCTTCGCAGATCAAACCGGCAGCCACCGATGCTTTCCAAGGGGCTGCCGACGCAGTTGTTCTGGTAACTGGCGATCATGTACGCGTTACATCGCCAGATGTATTTGTCACAGCCACCACAAATCCCGCGGCTCCTGTAGAGGTAGTAGAAGCTGGTATAGCTGTAGCATCATCAGCCGCCGGCGAACCAACGCTTACTGACATGGTCGAAAAAATTGCTGCGGAAAAGTCAGTTCCATTCGCTCCGGTGGAGGTTGATGGAGGTAAGGAGGTGGCAGCGGCCGAGGAGGGAGCATCCATTGCGGCAGCAGCATCAGCCGCTGGCGAACCAACGCGTACTGACATGGCGGGCGTAAGTGGTGCGGAGAAGGCAGTTCCTATGCTGGTCGCTCCTGCGGAGGCTGATGGAACCAAGGAGGTGGCAACCGCTGAGGAGGGAGCACCCATTACGGCAGCACCAGCAGCACCAAGGCATGGTATGGCATGACTACCAGACACCTGAACTGCTGCACAAATACGAAAATTTTATCAATTGTAGGGCCTTTCGTCTCTTGCGGTTCCATTGATAATTTGTGAGTTGGTGGCCTTACGGATTTGAAGGCTCAACTTTGTTTCTGTGTATTCCCTGTGCTTATGCGTCACCTGCTGCAGACTTTTTCCTGCCCCTGCTGGAAAGGAGAAAGCGCAAGCAAGCAGAGAAGAAACAGCAGCAGCAGCAACAAGATGAGCAGATTCAGCAGCAGATGCAGCAGCAGCAGCAGCAGCAGCAGCGGGTGGGTGAGGTGAAACGTAAGCGGGGTCGACCCAAGAAAGGAGGGAAACAGATGGAGGCGGTCGAGGGTTCCGGGGTAGCACAGGCGTATCCTGCAGTGGCTGGTAATAAGGTGACTTCTGAGTCAACTCAAAAGCGGGGTCGACCTAGGAAAGGAGGGAAACAGATGGAGGTGGTCGAGGCTTCCGGGGTAGCACAGGCATATCCTGCAGTGACTGGTGACGTGTCAGCCGTTGACATGTCAGCCACCCCTGTAGCTGACGTGTCACCCACCCTTGCAGCTGATATGTCAGTCGCCCCTCCAGCTGACGTGTCACCCGCCCCTGCAGCTGACGTGTCACCCGCTCATGCGACACCCGTTGTCGCGTTTATGTCCTCTGTTGGTTCGCCCGTGGGCGTTGGTGTCGGGAGGAAGCGTGTGAGCGTTATGGAGGAGTTCAGTGCGATGGAGGAGGATGGGGAGCACACGCAGCAACAGGTGCAACCAAAGGAACGCGAACAGGTGAAAGGGAGAGAGCAAAAGGGGATGGTGAAGGAGGAGAAGGAGGAGCGCGTGGTTGATCTCGGGGAAGCGACAGTAGAGGTGCTCGAGGCTGAAACGGGGCCGTGTGGCAAGGGGGATAACGAGAATGGGGATGCTGCAGTGCAGACTTCTGGGACTGCTGAAGCTGCTGCTACCACTGAAAGTGAGCCTACTGCTGCTGTTGCTTCTGCTGATATGCTGCAGCATGTTGCACCGACTGCTATAGCTGCAAGTGAGGCTCCTGTTACTGTCACACCTGCTGCTGATGCGCCTGCTTCCAGTGAAGTTTCTCCCGCCGTCAGAGTTGCTGGTGCTGCTGCTGGTGTCACTACACCCGGACAAGCAGCACAGACAGCCCCAGTAGACCAGGCACAGTTCCCTTCACTGGTGGAAACTCAGCCGCCTGCTGCAGCAGAGGCGCTTGACAAAACAGCTGCGGGTTATGGCGACCCGGTTTTTCAGGCTGCTCCGGTGGAAGAAGCAGCACAGACAGCCTCAGTAGACCAGACGGAGCTCCCTTCCCCGGCGGAAAATCAGCCGCCTGCTGAAGCAGAAACGCTTGGCAAAGCAGCTGCGGGTTATGGTGGGCCTGTGCAGGCTGCTCCGGTTGAAGCAGCACCACAACCAGCCCCGGTTCACCAGGCACAGCTCGCTTCACCAGGCCCAGTGGAGGCTCAGCCTCCTGCTGCAGCAGAGGCGCTTGGTGAAGTGGCAACCTCCCGCTATGGTAATTCCCTCTCATCAGTGCCACGATTGGCTCGTATATAAAGTGTCCGATATTTTCCTTTTCTGGTTTCACCATCCCTGTTCCTGCTGTGTTCACAGAAAGCCTACAAGCTGTTGGGACTCAGACGCTCTTGTGTGCGCCTAACCTTCTCCCCTAAACGTTTTCCGCTTGAACTGACTCCTTCCATTCCAGGTCGGAGGCTGAAGCAGAGAAGCCTCTTTGAGCCAAAGGCCGTGCAAGAACGGCCAAGGAGGCCCGGAAAGCCTGCTGCTGAAGGGTCTCAGACAGCCACAGCGACTTAGAACCCATGTGTGCGCCTAACCCACCCCCCTCAACGCTTTTCCCTTGAACTGACTCCTTCCATTCCAGGTCGGAGGCTGAAGCAGAGAAGTCTCTTTGAGCCAAAATCTGTGCAAGAACGGCCAAGGAGGCCCGGAAAGCCTGCTGCTGAAGGGACTCAGAAGGCCACACGCGAAAGTTTGAAAGGAACGCGCCAAAACGAGAGCAGAGGGCCGGTTTCCAGAGGAGGGAAGCGGCTGCAGCAGATGATGCTAGGGATCCGGTTCGTGCCCGTGGGTGGTGAGTTTGATAGAGGGGAAGCGTTGGTGCTACCGGTGCACTTGTGTGATACAAACGAAGGTGGTAACATTGGTGAGAAGGCAGTCGAGCGTGGTAATAACGAACGCGGTATTGCTGGTGAGGATGTGGATTTGACAGCATCAGGGGATGAGGCGGGCGTGAAGGAAGCAGAACGACGAGAGGTTGATGTTCAGGAGATGGGGCAGGAGGCAGGGGAGGAGGTGTTGGAAGGAGAGGGGGTGAAGGAAGAAGCGAAGAGGGTGGGAGAAGTGTTGGGGAAGGAAGAGGAGGTGGGGAAGGAAGAGGAGGTGGGGAGGGAAGGGGAAGACACGGATGATGATGTGCAAATAATGGAAGAGGAAGAAGATGAGGAGGAGGGCGACGAGGAGGAGGAGGAACTGGAGGAAGAAGAGGAGGAAGAGGAAGAAGAGGAAGAGGAGAGCATGGAAGCAAAGGTGGAGAGGGAGAAGGCACGGATGCGGGAAGAAGCGCACAAGACAGCTCAGGTGAGGTCTTCATGGTTTCTGTTGCCCTGCTTTCATCCCAACTAGAACCAGGTCGTTGTCTCCCACTCACCAGGTCTCTGTCTTACAGATCCCATCCCTTCCGACCCCCCACGATCCCCACACCTCTCAACAGCTCTTTGCTCAGTCCACCGCTGGTCGGCCGATGCACTCCTTCTTTCTCCACCTGCTCTGTGTCACCCAGCCTGTCGCTACCACTCCACACTCCCTTTCACCACTCTGTACCTCCATCTTTCCCATCACCCCAACCTCCCAGCTCTTTGCGCAGTCCACTGCTGGGCGGCCTATGCACTCCTTCTTTCTCCCCAGGCAACGCCAGCCAAAGCCAGTCCGTGCTGCTGCTGCTGCTGCTGGTGATAACGAGGCTGCTAATAACGGGAACAGCACTGCTGCTGCTGCTGCCTCTGGTGCAGCAGCTATGGTAGTGGATTTGTCAGAAGGGGAAGAGGAGGTGGTGGTGGGGTGTGGGGGGAGAGAGGCGGATGGGGAAAAGAGGGGGAGTGGAAGAGGAAGAGGCAGAGGAAGAGCAGCAGTGAGTGGGAGAGGGGCATTGGGAGGGAGAGGGAGGGGAGGGAGAGGAGGGGGGAGAGGAGTGGGGCAAGCGGTAGGAAGAGGAGGGGGAAGAGGGGTAGGAAGAGGAGGGGGAAGGGGTAGGGGTGGAGGGAGAGGGAGGGCCAAAGCAGTCGTCACTTCAGAGGAGGAAGAGGAGGAAGAGGAAGAAGAGGAGGAGGAAGAGGAGGAAGAGGACGAGGAAGAGGAGAGTGGAGAGGAAGGAAGGAAGCGGGGTACCAAAGGGATAAGAGGGAGAAAGCGACCCAGGGGCAGGGGAGCAAGAGGGAAAGGGGGTAAGCGAGAGGAGATAAGGATTGGGATCGGCACAGAGAAGCAGGAGCAGGCAAAAGAGGGGGCGGCAAGAGGGGGGGCAAGTGGAGAGAGGGTAAGGAAGCAGCAGGAGGAGGAGGAGGGGGTGGTAGAGGTGAAGCGGCCAAGAGGGGAGTGGTACCAACAGTGGCTGCAGAGAGCAGGCAGGGGGGGAGCTGCTACTGGGGCAGGAGGGCTTGCTACCTGTCCACAGGGTGCCAATGGCTCTGAGCGTCTTGATGGGTTTGCGGATGGTGTGGATGGTTCTGGTCGTCTTGACGGCACAAGGGGGGTGGGCATTCTAGGGGGACTGACCAGTGGTAGGGAAGGGGTTTCTGGTGGCATTGGAGGGGGTGTTACTGGGAGAGGGGCAGCAGGAGGGGCAGCAGGGGGAGCCGGGGTGAAGGCTGCTGGTGGGGGTTTTTTTGGTGCGCGGGTGATGAGGTTTTCTAGCCGGAAGGTTCCTCTGCTGCCGCTGAACCCCTTCCATGTAAACCAAGAGGGGGAGGGGGACGAGGAGGGGGAGGAGGAGCGAAAGGAGGAGGGGAAGGAGGAGGGGAAGGAGGAGAGGGAGGATCAGCAGCAGAAGCATCGTATGAGCCCTCCATTTGGAGTGTGTCAATGGGAGGAGCTGCAGCACCAGCATCGTATGACCCCTCCTCTCCCCCCTCTCGGCCAAGTGCTATTTGGCCTCTGCGCTGCTCGTGTGTATGGAAGAATGCTCCGAGGGGAGGAGGGGACAAGGGATGGGGGGGAGGGGAAGGAGGCTGGATCCGGGGAGAAGGTAAAGGAGGTGGTGGCTTCTATTGCTGGATGCTCGGCAGCAATAGAGGGCGGGGAATTCGCAGCAGAGGGTGCAGCAGGGCATACAAGTGCGGCAGTTGATACGGCAGGTGATATGGCAGCTGATACATCAATTGGTATGGCAGATGATACGCCGCCAGCTCATATGGCGGTGGATGCTGCACCTGATACGGCAGTTGACACAGCAAAGGGTACAGAAGGGAAGGCAATTGCAGCAGCAGGTGCAGCAGCAGGTGATGCAACAGGTGCTGCCTCGGGCACAGAAGCAGCTGTGACGGCTGTGGTGGAAGGGTCTTCTGCATTAGGAGCAACGGGAGGAGCAGGAACAGCAGCAGGAGCAGCGAGTGACCTCTGGTCGCGCCATTACCAGCCTACGAGCCCTGCTGAGGTCAGGCAGGGGATGGGGCGGGAATTTTCCAGCTGCTCGTTTCTTGTTTCCGTGTCACTTCTCCTTGCCATTGCCACTTACGTGCCTGCAGCTAGTGAGTCGTTTGAATGTGTGAATCTGTGGCAAGTCTTCTTTGGATTTACCCTAAAAAGTCCTGCTTCTTTCTCTGCTTGGTTCCCCATTCCCTTCTCCCTGTCAGATATGTGGTAACGAGGCTGCTGTTAACGAGTTGCTGCAGTGGTTGACGCTCTGGCAGGGCCGTCTTGGGTTTACACCCGTCTGTGATGCTCAGACTCATGCTCATGCTGCAGCTGCTGATATTGCTGCTGCTGATGGTGCTGCCGCTGCTGTTGATGCTGCTGATGCCGGCGCTGCTGGTGGCATTGGTGGTGCGCCCACAGCTGCAACTGCAGAAGCTGCAACTGCTGCTGCTGTCGTTGGTTCCTTTGACATGCCCACAAACCCACAAACCACCTCAGCTGCAGCCACTGCAGATGCTCTTGCTGGGACAGGTGCAGTGGGGGATGGTGTAGTGGTGAAGGGTGGTGGAATAGGGGGTGGCAGTAGGCAAAGCAGGCGAGCAAGGGCAGTGAAGCAAAGAAGTTGTTGGAGGAGCTCTGATAAAGGGAGACATGGTAAAAGGAGATCAGGAGCTGGGGCGGAGGGTAGTGACGAGGAGGACTGGAGTGATGGCGACAGTGGTGGTGGGGCTGATGATGGTGATGGTGACACAGAGCGTGACTGTAGCGGAAGTGAATACAGCGCAGAGAGTGACTATAACGAGGGGAGTGACTCTGATGGTTGGATGGAGGAGGAGGAAGGGGAGCAGCTGCCGTGTGCTGTGCTGCTAACAGGGCCTGTGGGGGTAAGAGCCAGTTTTCTTAGTTTTTCAAGACTCCATTTCCCTTTAGAGCCTCTTTCCTTCTCTGTAGTGCGTCGGTGCCTCTGTTTGCTGCCATGCGCTGTGCTGCTAACATGACCTAGGGGGTAAGAGCCTCTCCCTTCAGTGCGAAACAGCAACAGCAGCAGCCTCTGCCATGCACCTGTGCAGCAGCCATGGGTTTCCAGGTCGTGGAAGTCAACGCGTCTAACCCACATCCCAACCACAATCTTGTCACCCCACACACCCCATACTTTCCCTTCGCATCCATCAGAGCGGCAAGACAGCAGCGGCATACGCCTGTGCATCATCTCTGGGCTTCCAATTCGTCGAAGTCAATGCGTCTGACACACACACCCCAAACCCTAATTCTACATCCCCCACACACCCCATACTCTCTCTTCGCCTCCTTTCAGAGCGGCAAGACAGCAGCGGCATACGCCTGCGCATCATCCCTGGGCTTCCAATTCGTCGAAGTCAATGCGTCTGACACACGCACCCCAAACCCTAATTCTACATCCCCCACACACCCCATGCTCTCTCTTCGCCTCCTTTCAGAGCGGCAAGACAGCAGCGGCGTACGCCTGTGCATCATCCCTGGGCTTCCAGGTCGTGGAAGTCAATGCCTCTGGCCCCAGGCCTTCAAACCCTCAACCGCCCCCCTGCCTTTTCTCCCTTGTTCATCAGAGCGGCAAGACAGCAGCGGCATATGCCTGTGCATCATCTCTGGGCTTTCAAGTTGTCGAGGTCAACGCATCTGACGCTCGTGACGGGGCGCTGCTTCGTGGAAGGTTCTCAGAGCTCCTCTTCTCGCACCGCCTCTCCGCCAATCATGCTGTGCCACGTGGCACCCTTTTCTCCCATGCTGCTGCCCCTGCCGCCCCTGCTGCCCCTGCTGCCCCTGCTGCCCCTGCTGCCCCTGCTGCCCCTGCTGCCCCTGCTGCCCCTGCTGCCCCTGCTGCCCCTGCTGCCCCTGCTGCCCCTGCTGCCCCTGCTGCCCCTGCTGCCCCTGCTGCCCCTGCTGCCCCTGCTGCCCCTGCTGCCCCTGCTGCCCCTGCTGCCCCTGCTGCCCCTGCTGCCCCTGCTACTGCTGCTACTGCTGCTGCTGATACCCCTGCCGCTGCTGCTGTTGGTGATGCTGTTGATGTTCCTACGGCCAAATCAAGGCGCATGGGAGCGTCGGTGCTTCTATTTGAGGACGTGGATGTGCTTATAGAGGAGGACAGGGGCTGCGTTGCTCTGCTGGTGCAGCTGCTGAGTCCCTCCCGCCAGCGCAACAAACGGCCCATCATCCTTACTGCCAACTGTGAGTATCGAACCCGCGACCTTACGCTTCGGATTTTCTGCATTTAGAGGAGGACAGGGGCTTCATTGCTCTGCTGGTGCAGCTGCTGAGTCCCTCCCACCAGCGCAACAAACGCCCCATCATTCTTACTGCCAACTGTGAGTATCGAGCCCAGAACCAAAACTTTCTGCTACATATATCTCCCTTTCCTCCTCCCTGCCCTCCCTGCCGTCATCTGCTCGCCTGTTCGCTTCTCCCAAATCCTTCATAGATCCCAAACCCAACCTTCCTTCAACCCTCACTCGCTTCACCATCCCCTTCGAAACTCCTGAGCTTTTCCCTCATCTTCTCAACCCTCCCCCATTTCCCCCTCTTCCCTGCTTCTTTGCGTCCTCCCCCTTATTCCTCGCAGCCCCCAACCCCAACCTTCCCACAGCCCTCACTCGCTTCATCATCCCCTTTGCCAGGCCATCTGCGGGCCAAGCAATGCCTTTGCTACACAAGGTAAGAGCAGGTGTAGTCAGGTCTAGAGCAGAGCTTGTGTTGTGTTCTTTCTTGTTTGGTCATTTGGTGCTGTTACACACTCGATTCATCATCCCTTTCACCACGCCCTCCGCCCGCCAAGCCCTGCCTTTGCTACACAAGGTAAGAGAAGCTGTAGGCAGGTGTAGGCAGCTGTAGGGAGCTGTAGTCACAAGGTGTGCTCTCACTCACTCGCTTCATCATCCCCTTCACGAGGCCATCTGCGCGGCAAGCCCTGCATTTGCTGCACAAGGTAAGAGCAGTCATTCTCGTGTCTGCAAAGCTTGCGAGTGCTGTTTCTCGGTCGTGTCGTATGCTCGTACTGGGTCAGCTGCATCATCCCTTTACCAGGCCCTCCCCCCCTCTCCCCTTGCCCTCTCCCCATCCCCACTCCCCATCCCCTGTGCTGTGTTTGCCTTTTCCCCACTCTTATCCCAGATCTGCACGGAGCAAGCACCCCTCTCCGCCCCCCCACCTCTCTCCCTCCTCTCCCTCCTACTCTCCTCTCTCCCCACCGACCTGCGCTCCCTCCTTCTCTTCCTCCAATTCTGGTTACCCAGAAAATCAACTCTCTGTGAGAAAGGCGCCAGTGACTTTGACAGAAGCAGGTGTGATCGTGGCAAGCTTGGCTGTGATTGTGGCAAAAGCGGTTGTGACTGTAAAGAGGGGGAAGGCTCGCTGGGTGAAGGAGGGAGTATGGAGAGAGCAAGGGGGGTCAGGAGGGAGGAGAAGATTAAATCCCTCTGGGAGCTGGGGGCTCCACACAGATCCCTGCCCGGTTTTTTTGGGCAGGTTCAAGACAGGGCTTTTGCGCCGGTCACAAAGTTTCTGGCTGCCCGGTTGACTGCAGCAGTTGTGAAAGCAGCAGAGGGGGAGAGGGAAGCAGTTGCAGGGGTGCTTGGAAGGAGATGGGAGGGGAGGAGGAGGAGGGAGGAGAGGGAGAGGGAGAGGGAGGCGAGAGAGAGGGCGGAAAGGAGGAGATTGGAACGGGCAGAACGGGCAGCGGAAAAAGAGAGGGAGAGGGTGGAGAGAGCGAGGAAGCGGGCAGCGAAATTAGCTGCTATGGACGAGGAGGGAGAGGAGGTGGTGGTGATGGTTGGTAACACAACAGAAGGGATTGTTGATGACACACCAAGAGAAAAAGGTTTTGAAAGAGGGAATGATATGGTAGTGGAGGGCCGACGAAGGAGGCTCAGAAGAAGGTCTGTGAAAGGGGGGGCGGCAGCAGAAGTAGGAGCAGAAGGAACAGCAGAAGATGCAGCAGCAGACGGTAGGGAGAGTGGAGGAGGAGAGTGCTGGGAAGAGATCAGAGGAGAAGAAAGCAGGAAGAGCTTAGAGGGCAGGAAGAGAAAGCAGAGGGCGGTTGTGAGATCAGACGACGAGGAGGAGGGGGAAGGGGAGGAGGGGGAGAGGCGCAGAGTGGGGAAGGTACCTGTTCCTGAAGCCCCTCACAAGCAGAGGGCGGTTGTGAGATCAGATGATGGGGAAGAGGAAGGGGAGAGGCAGAGAGGTCAAGAGAGCAGTCGAGACGAAGAGGGGGGCGATGGGGTACCTGACTTGGCTGTAGCTGAAGCGGCTGTAGCAGAGGAGGCTGTAGCAGAGGAGGCTGTAGCTGAGGAGGCTGTAGCTGAGGAGGCTGTAGCAGAGGAAGGGGCGAGGCACAGAAGTCAAGGGAGCAGTCGAGACAAAGAGGGGGGCGATGGGGTACCTGATTCTGAGATGGCTGTAGCAGCGGAGGCTGTAGCAGAGGAGGCTGTAGCAGAGGAGGCTGTAGCAGAGGAGGCTGTAGCAGAGGAGGCTGTAGCAGAGGAGGCTGTAGCAGAGGAGGCTGTAGCAGAGGAGGCTGTAGCAGAGGAGGCTGTAGCAGAGGAGGCTGTAGCAGTGGAGGCTGTAGCAGAGGAGGCTGTAGCAGAGGAGGCTGTAGCAGAGGAGGCTGTAGCAGAGGAGGCTGTGGCAGACGAGGGGAGTGAAGGACATGGGGAGGCACAGGGTGGTTGTGAGAGGGACCGAGAGGAGGGTGAGAAGGGTAGAGAGGAGGTTAAGGAGAGGAAGGAGGAGGAGGAGAATGCGCTGGAGGAATGTGGTGAAATGGAAGGACAGGTGGATGACGTGGCAGTGGTGATGGATGACGTGGCAGTGGAAGCGGATGAGGTGGCAGTGGAAGCGGATGAGGTGGAATTACTAGCTGATGACGTGGAGGATGATGAAGATGCGTTGCTGGAGGAGCTGTTGCCACGTGGCAACACGCGATTGGAGGAGGTGTGCTCTGCCAGCGCAGCAGACACCTGGAAGGATCTCAAGTGCCAGTTGGCGCATTCTGATTGGCTAGCAGCACACAGGCCCGGTTCCGAGGTTACGACCCAGGCTCGGCAGGAGCTGACTCTGTTGACTCGGTTGACCGAGCTGACTGCCAGGCTGGCAGATGCTGACGTCATATCTGGGGGTTTGACTTGCCGCAGGGTTCCCCTAGGGCTGGAGACTGAGGGTGACTTTGACCGGGGCAAGGAGAAGTCTGGCGTTGACTTTCTTGACTGGCGAGATCCGATCCCTTACCATGCGATCCTATCCCCGTCAGCGGCAGGACAAGTTTCTCAAGAGATTTCTGCTCAAATCTGCAACTACCCACAGGCCCTCGTGGCGAATGCTGCTGATACTGCCAATGCTGCCGACAGTATGGATGCTGCCAATGCTGCTGATGCTGCCGAAGCTGCCAATGCTGCATTGGCTAATTCTTCAAATGCTAGTGATGGTGGTGCTGGTGCTGCTGCTGATGCTGATGCTGATGATGCTGATCCTGAGGGCAAGCCTTCATCCGCGCGATCCCCTCCTGATGCCTCTGGTGAGTTAGGAGACCATTGGAGATGGGCCCAGGGTCATCGTGATATGGAGGGGCATTCAAACGAGGACGATTGGTGCCACTTGCCTCTTTCTATCGAAGCTGCTCTTAAAGGGGACAGCAGTTCTACAGGAAGCGGTGTACAGTGTTGTGTGAGTCAGCAGCATACAAGGATGAGAGCTCCTATGGCAAGGGTTGACCGAATAGTGCTTCCGGTGGATGGTGCACCAACAGAAATAGCTCCTATATTAGCTTATAGCGCCATGCTTCATACACTCACATGCTGTCTCCCTCCTAAGGCAACTCCGAAGTTGGGTGGTTCTTGTGGGAATGAGTGTGACAATAACGAGGGTGGTTGTGGGAGGGTGTGTGAGGAGGGAGGGTGGACGAATGATGATGATGTTCGAACGTGGTCGTCACTGGGTAGAATGTTGGCAGTTCATGGTGATGGTGATGCCATAGGTTGGTCGATAGCTTCTCACGAATGATCATGTAGTTGGTATATGTGAGTTGTGGTTCAAAGGAGGCTGGAATGATACTCAATGTAGTTTCTGGTTTAGTTTTGTATTATGTGTTGATTTGTCAAATGTTATTATAGGTTCTTAGGCTACAGTGAGTAGCACTCTAGGGAGTACAACACTTTTAGGGTTGCTATTTGTATCCCTTGTTTCCCTAGTTCACACATTCCGTTGTTCGCTAACTTTGAGATGGTATCATGAGTAGGTGTCGATCCTCTCGCCTAGCCTAGCTAGCGCCCTAGCGCCCTCCGCACCCTTGCGCCCTCCGCACCCTTGCGCCCTCCGCGCCCTCCGCGCCCTCCGCGCCCTCCGCGCCCTCCGCGCCCTCCGCGCCCTCCGCGCCTTAGCCTCCGCGCCCTCCGCGCCCTCCGCGCCATCTCCGCGCCTTAGCGCCCTCCTCCTCCGCGCGTTAGAGCCCTCAGCGCCCCTAGCCTGCGCCCCTAGCCCGTCGCCCAGGCGCCCGCCCTAGCCCGACGCCCAGGCGCCCGCCCTAGCCCGACGCCCAGGCGCCCGCCCTAGCCCGTCGCCCAGGCGCCCGCCCTAGCCCGTCGCCCAGGCGCCCGCCCTAGCCCGTCGCCCAGGCGCCCGCCCTAGCCCGTCGCCCAGGCGCCCGCACCAGCCCGTCGCCCAGGCGCCCGCCCCAGCCCGTCGCCCAGGCGCCCGCCCCAGCCCGTCGCCCAGGCGCCCGCCCCAGCCCGTCGCCCAGGCGCCCGCCCTAGCCCGTCGCCCAGGCCCGCGCCCTAGCCCGTCGCCCAGGCGCCCGCCCTAGCCCGTCGCCCAGGCGCCCGCCCTAGCCCGTCGCCCAGGCCCGCGCCCTAGCCCGTCGCCCAGGCGCCCGCCCTAGCCCGTCGCCCAGGCGCCCGCTTTAGCCCGTCGCCCCAGCCCGCGCCCTGGCCCGTCGCCCCAGCCCCGCAGGCAGCGCGCCGCGCGGGCAGCGCGCCCCGCGGGTAGCGCGCCCCGCAGGCGGCGCGCCCCGCGGGTAGCGCGCCCCGCAGGCAGCACACCCTGCAGGCAGCGCGCCCCGGAGCGCTTTAGCGCCAGAAAATAAATAAATAAATAAAAAATTAAACCCTAAAAAAAAAAAAAAAAAAAAAAGGTTTCGGGTGGGGGCCTGCAACTGTCGGCCGCGTTCCTGCTTGCCGGACGACCTGCACAGTTGCCTGCATCCCGCAGCCGTCAGTACTGCAGCCCCTACTGTCGCACGTACGTTCCACTGCCAGTGGCTCTACTAGCGGCAGCCGACAGCCGCACCTACGGTCTCTAGCTCCGGCCGTTCCTACCTCCAGCCAGCCCTAGCTCGCCGTTTCTAGCTCCAGCCAGTTGTGCTCCAGCCGTTCTCGCTCCAGCCGTTCTCGCTCCTCGCTCGTAGCTCAGTTTGCTCCGTACTCCAGCCGTTCCTCGCCTAGTTTCACCTGTCGCTCCTAGCCTGCCGCTCCTGCACCCCGCTAGCTTTTATCATGGAGTCCACTAGGGTTCTCCAGCAGCAGGGACAGCAGCAGCGGCCGTTTCAGTGCTTCTTCCGCGACCACACCACTGTCACACCTCTTTCGGCTCCAGTCCCAGTTGCCCTGGCTGATCCTACTTCAGGACCAGCAGTTGCTCGCAGCTCGACCACCCTCCCGTGCCCAGCTGTCCCCTCTGGTTTCCTCACTGGTCTCTACATCCCCTCGTTCTCTCGGAACTTGGTGGGTGTTGGATACCTTAAGGACCGGGGGATCACAGTCACTTTTCCTGCGCACGGGAGGACTGCGATCTGTACGGACTCTTCCACCGGGGCAGTTCTTGCCACGTTCACCAGAGAGCCCCACTCAGGTCTCTTCGTCCTGCACACTCCGCCCCCGCAGGTAGCTGCGTCTGGTCAGGTTGCTTCGTCCCCCCCGGTAGCAGAGTCCGGTCAGGTTACTGCGTCCCCACCGGTTGCTGTGTCCGGTCAGGTTGCTGTGTCCGGTCAGGTTGCTGTGTCCGGTCTAGTTGCTGCGTCTTGCTCGTGTCGGTCTTTCACCCACCGGACCGTCTTGTGGCACCACCGTCTTGGCCACGCGTCGATCCCCCGCCTCCGCACTATGGCTGGTCACCCTCTTGTCTCAGGTCTCCCTCGCGTCTTCCCGTCGCTCCCTCCCTCGCCTGCGCCGCCGTGCACTCCTTGCGTCGCCGGCCGTCTTCCTGCCACTCCGCACTCCTCCTCCCTTCGTCTGGCCACTGCTCCCTTCCAGACACTCCACTTGGATGTCTGGGGCCCTGCACCTACGCAGGGACCTGAGAGGGAGCGCTACTTTCTGGTGGTCGTCGACGACTTCTCCAGGTACACCACGGTGTTTCCTCTCGCGAAGAAGTCCGATGTGACTTCTACGCTGATCCGGTGGCTTCTAGCCACTGAGGGCACTCGTCGCCGTCGTGTCTCCTGTCTCCACTCTGACCGTGGGGGTGAGTTTCGCTCAGGCATTCTTGCCGGATTCTGCGGCGAGCAGGGCATCGTACAGTCCTGGACGCTGCCAGAGTCCCCACAGCAGAATGGGGTTGCTGAGCGCCGCATTGACTTGGTCATGGACATCGCCCGCACGTCCATGATTCATGCCCGTGCGCCCCATTTTCTGTGGCCCTACGCGGTTCGCTACGCCGCTCACCAGCTGAACCTCCAGCCGCGCGTCTCGCGGCCAGAGGCTTCACCGACCAGTCTTTGGACCGGGTCCCCTGGTGTTGGGTCAGCTTTTCGTGTCTGGGGCTGACTTGCGCTTGTCCGCGACACCTCTACGGACAAGCTCTCGGCTCGCGCCGTCCCCTGTGTCTTCCTTGGTTTCCCGGTAGCCTCGGCCGACTGGTCTTTTTACCACCCGCCCCTCCACCAGTTCCTAGACTCCCGTGACGTCCGGTTCGACGAGTCAGTGTCCTACTACACCCGGTACCCCTGTCGAGGTCTCCCGGTTCCCCTTCCCCCCCTTTTCCTCGCACCCTCTCTTCCCCCTGCTCCCGCTCCTCCGGTACCCCCACCCCCCCCTGGTCCTGCCCCGTCAGGTGTGTCTCACGCTACCCCTCTACCCTCGGTCGCGCGTCAGGTAGCGGCTCCCTCCCCGCAGTCCTCCTCACAGTCCCCTCAGCAGCCTTCGGTACTTCCGTGACAGGCTACTGTGGACTCAGTTGGTTTTGGAGCTGGAGGTGCAGCCACTGGCGGTACTCGGTCCGGGGGTGCTCGTTTGAGGGGTTCTGGAGTTGGAGGTGCTGGCGCAGGTGGCGCTAGCCCTGGGGGTGCTGGAGCTGGAGGTCCTGGCACTGGAGGTGCTAGTCCTGGGGGTGCTGGAGCTGGAGGTGCTGGCGCAGGTGGCGCTAGCTCTGGGGGTGCTGGAGCTGGAGGTGCTGGCACTGGAGGTGCTAGTTCTGGGGGTGCTGGAGTTGGAGGTCCTGGCACTGGCGGTACTAGTTCTGGGGGTGATGGAGCTGGAGGTGCTGGCACAGGAGGTGCTGGTCCTGGGGGTGCTGGTTCTAGGGGTGCTGGTGCTGGAGGCGCTGGCACTGGAGGTGCTGGTTCTGAGGAGACTGGAGCTGGAGGCACTGGTTCTGCGGAGTCCACTCCGCCTCCCCACCGCCACGACACACGTCTCCAGGCGGCCCGTCGGCGTGAGCGTGAGGAGCAGGTGCTGTTGGAGAGGGAGCGGCAGGAGTTGCGGCAGTTGGACCTGCTGGAGCAGCAGCAGTAGCAGCAGCAGCAGCAGTAGCAGCAGCAGCAGCAGCAGCAGCAGCAGCAGCAGCAGCAGCAGCAGCAGCAGCCGCAGCAGCAGCAGACACCGCCGCCGCAGCTGCGACCACAGCAGCTCCCTCTGGAGCGGCAGTTGTTCCCACCCGTGAGTGGCCTTCGGGCCCTTGGTCTTCCCTCCTCTCCTCCTGTTCACACTCCGTCCCCTCCAGCGTTTGGTCCCACGTTTCCTCCTCCTGACGACAGTCCGGCGGTCTGGTCTTCTCCTCCACCGCAGTCTCCTCCACCTGTTGTCCCACACTCTCGTGTCCGTCCCTGTCCTCCGCGTGCTCGTCACTCGTCTCCCGTTACCGACCTCCGCACTGCCCTCCTTTGTTCGTCTCTTCGTCGTCCTCCTCCTGAGTCCGTTCTCCCGTCTCCGCCTCCGTCCTCTCTCCCTTTCCCCCCTACTCCTGTCACTGACTACTACCGCGCTGTTCGTCCTGTTGTCTCTCGTGTCCTCGCCACTCTTGTCACCGACTCTCGTTTCCCTCCGTCGTCTGTCTCGGCTCTCACTGCCGCTGTCGCTGAGTTTGCTGCCGCCAGTCGCCTTGACTACACCACCCGTGTGGTGCCAGCTCCTCCCTCCCGTCCTCTGTCCGTCGGGGGTGGGTTTGCCCTTGGCTGTGACGTCCTAGAGGACAGAGAGTCTGAGCTGGAGTACTGGGCAGCCGCTTCCCCCTCTGTCTGTGCCATGCTGCTATCCCCTGAGGGAGACCCCGACGCCCTTGACATACCGACTCCTCGCACTTACCGCGAGGCAGTGACAGGGGCGTGGGCCTCACAGTGGAAAGCGGCTATGGCCTCGGAGTTAGCGTCTTGGAGATCTACAGGCACGTACGTCGACGCAGTTCCCCCTCCCAGGGCGAACGTAGTCGATGGCATGTGGCTCTTCAAGGTGAAGCGGCCGC